GGCTCCAAGGGTCCATAAAGAAACTCTTTTCTAAACACACAGTTCACGTGAAAGATTTACTAAAGTTGCTTCAACTGATATTTTCAAGAATTGTTAAAACAATATTATTGTCAAACTAGTGTATTGCTAATCACATTTTTATTGTTAACATTTGCCACTGAAATTGCTCTTCAATTGTTTGTTTTGGAACAGACTCATAAAATATCATGACAGCGATATTTTGGCACATATTGGAAAATCTGCCATGAATAAAGATTTTTTCCAATAAAATAGAGTTTGCCTATATTACTTGGCATTAAAATGATTTACTGAAGTAGCCAAAACATAAACCACTGAAATAAAATGAGAGATTAGAGTTATAGCAACATTCAAAGACTGATACATCCAAATTCACATTTAAAACACATTTTAAAGCAACTTCTACGCTTTGGAAAGTGGCAAAGCGGAAAAAAGAACATCCTTCATCCTACTCATCTGGCAATTCTACACATAAAAGCCAAGTCATCATGATGCTTCTGAGGGCTCATATTCTTCAGGAACACACATTTATTAAGCAGATTCAGGATGCCTTAGTGCTGTGGACCCAGAAGATTGCATACACTAGAAACCAATTCAGCTTATTCTAATGCATGCTACTTCATCCTTCATTCCCTGCCGAACACTGGTTCTGCCAAAGAAAATTCAGAGTTCTAAAGCAGGTAGGCCCTGCCGCGGAAGTGTTACCCAGGTCCCAGGACAATCACCTTTCTCACCTTTCTCCATTGCTTGGCCAGCTAAAACTAGGGCAACTTCCAGCTGAAACACAGATTTGATTGAAATGCTGCCCACTCTGCTCTGTCATGTTATCAGAACTCCTGGGACTTTGGATCAGACCTCAGACCAGCTCTGTCTTCCATGTTCCCTTCCCCACAATTCCTTTGGTTGACCCTAAAAGCCTAACTTGCAGCTTCCTGTTTTCATCCTGTGGTGGCAAAAGATGCAGGGACACTCAAGTTGCCAGTATATGCCCATGACCTTAAGCCAAATTTGCTCCACATCCCAAACCTGTGACTGATCAGTCTACTTCCACATTGCAGGAGGACAGGGATTCTAAAAGAATCACCCCAACCCCTTCTCTCTCCAGGTAGAGGCTAGTGTCTGGTTTTAAAGGGCCTAAATTACTTGCACAAATATGAAATAAACGTAGTATATGACCCTTCAGGATTTCACCCAGAATATCCTTTAGCCTCACTACATAACCCCTTCTCTGTGACCTCTGCTCCATATACTGAGGCCTCAGTACTCACCATGCCAGGTGCTGATCTTGCCTTTCCCTTTCCTCAAACTGCAGTGCTTCCCCTTCCTCAAGAAAACTCCTTTGTCCTGAGGCCCTATAGAAAGGTCACTACTTCTGTGAGACAGCAGCTGTGACTTCTTTCCTCCAATGATGTGCTACACATCGCTTTTTCCTGGCAACATTATTGTAGAAGGCCTTGTATGCAGCCTTCCAGACAGGAAGAAGCACTGTGCCTCCTGAGTAGGCCATTACAATTAGAGATTGCTTTTATTTCCTTTCCAAAACAACAAAAAATACTTTTAATTGGCCATTTAACAGTTTGAATCCATCCCTGGAACTCCTGGTGGACCATATAATGCCTGCTGTCCCTGAGACTTCCACATGGCTACTCTCTACACACAGTTCAACAAATTCAGCATTCTGCTCCGTGCCTCTGCACTTGCCTCCAGGCCTGCAGGAAAAACAACAGAAGCTGCCAGCAATTTCTGCCCATCAGAAGAGACAGGCTTACTTTCTTAATGAAAAACATCTAGGAGATGTACTGCTGGTAAAAGCATACCACACGGGGACTTTAGGAAAGAACAAAGAAGTTACAAAGCCTGTAAGAAGTTTGTAAGCACATCAAACATGAACAGTTATGGGCTGGGAGTAAAGAAAAAAGTCATCAAGGTTCAAGGTAGACCACAATCTGAGTGAGTGAAAAGCTCTTTTGTCATTTTGTTAATGGGCAGTTAGAAGGCATAAGGAGTAGCAAACATGCAGGGTGCCACACAATCTCCTCATTACTCCTTGTCCTGATCACAGCATTGCTAGAAGCTGTCATATATATGTTAGACAACACCTAGACCCTCAAACTTAGAAAGCAAACTGAAGTACATACTGTGTTTCCTTGACTCTAGGAACCCGTCAGTTCTAAGATGCACCGTTATTTTATCAAGTGCTAAGAAAGAAAAATGTTGCCAATTAAACTATGACACAGTTTCTTATTACTCAGAATTTTATTTTCTTTTTATTGAAAGAGCTCTTTCAGATGTATTCAGACAGATTTTTATAATATATCACTCTCAGGCATTTATAACAAGGAAAATAAAAGTGAAATAAATTGGTTTAGGCAATGACAACCAGGTCACCTCACTGAAAGCAATTGTAAAACACCATTGATTTGGAAAGTATACCTCAGTTTCAGAAATGTTAAACTCTGAAAAATGTGTGATTCATAGAATCAATAAAATATTGTTATGTATGGCTCAGTGATAAAAAGTTTAAAAAGTCAAGGTAATAGTTCATGGGATAATGGCTACGAAGACCTTCCACTGATTAAAAATGTATTTAAACAGAAAAAAAAAAATCTAAGATTATTTAACTCAAGAAAGACAAAAGTAGAATAGGAATTTAATAATGCTCTTCAAGGACATCAAAATGCTGCTCCATGAGCAGTGTTTTAAAGTCCCTTGTTCTTTACTTTTTAGCATGAAGATCTCTTTCTACAAGAAACCTGAGTATGGGGCTGTTTTGTTCAGAGTAAGAGCATCTTCCCAGACACATCTATGGGGCTAGGACCAGCTTAACTCCTGACCTGAACAGATGTGTCCCTTTCTACTCACTCCCTACCACAGTCACAATCGCATGACAAGGGCTTAAACTGTGGTAGTGACTAATTAATTAAACTTTCACTTCAGTGTAAAATATGAAGCACTTGCTAGGTGCTCAGTACACAAACATTAATATATTTAAGTAACTTATAAGAAAGAATTTTCTATATCAGAATTTTAGACCTTGAGATGACAAAGGGTAGAATGAAAATTTCTTCTCACAAAAGGTGAATTAACCTTAGCAGTTTAGAAAGCCTCCTGCCACAAAGATGAATCACATCTATCCGTTCTAAATACACATACACACACACTTATTTTGGGGGTGGAGAAAGTAGTGGGGAATGAACCGGGGGGCTCTCTACCACTGAGCAACATCCCCAACCCTTCTTTTTTGAGACAGGGACTTGCTAAACTTCCCAAGCTCCTCTTGAAATTGTGATCCTCTTGTCTCAGCCTCCCAAGTTGCTGGAATTACAGGCATGCACCACTGTGCCTAACTCCATTCTGGCTTTAGAAGTCTACAACACTGGTTACTTTTCAAATGCATACTAAATGTGGTGGTCTGGATGGTTTGGGTGGCTGGTCCCACTCCCAACCATGTGGCCAAACTTAGCACCTTGCTGTACACTATTCTCCAAAACAAATCCGCAAGTATTGTTCATCCTTCCTACTAAAGGTGTCTATTAGTATACCACTTGGCAAAACCTAAAACTCTGCTTTAGACAGCTCTCAATCACATTTCTTCATCTCCGTTTTCTATATCCCTTCTCCTGATACTGCCTGAAAACCCCCTTGTAGTGTATTCAGTCCAGGCTCTCGTCTTGTATATTCCATTCAGCATGGCAGCTCTATTCCATCTGGTCACCAAAGCCATACTTTGAGAATGCTGCCCATTACTACCCTTACTCCTCATCCAATGTCAAAAGCTGAGTGCTATGGTTTGAAGGTGTCCCTTCCAAAATTCAAGTATTGTCAATGTGACAGTATTATGAAGTGAGGCCTCAGGAGGTGTTTAGGCTATGAGCTCTCCTCCCTCCCCAGTGGGAGGCTTCACACAGCATCATGCATGCTTGCCCTTCCACCTTCTGCCATGTGAGGCACAGCTTGAGGGCCCTCACCAGATGCCAAATGCTGGTACACTGATTTTGGACTTTCCAGCATTTAGAACCATAAGAAATGAGTTCCTTTGCTTTATAAATTACCCAGTGTGTAGAAGTTTATTAGCAGTGCAAATGGACAAAGATACTCAAGATAACCCAACCAGCATTCCTGAAAGGGAAAGGGGCACCTGTAGCTAAGAAAAAATGCAGTTTTTATGACATAGTCATAAAAGCATAGAAAAAAATTTTGTTCTAGTATTTGAAGATGATTCAAGAAAATTTATCGTGTGACAAAGCTAATGAAGCTAATGCTCCATTGATGGCCATGGTAGGTTAGATTGACCTGGCTGCAGAAAGTTACCCACCTTTGTGTCTTTTTCTGTCATTGAGTTCTGGAGGTAACACACTTGGTAAACAGAGATAACACACCCATAAACAAAAGAACCTTTTGCCAAGGTCACTCCTTTGCTCTAAACACCAACTACATTTTCAGCCTAATTCTGGGTGTGAATAGGGATCTAAATAGGGAGTTATTAGAAGTGACTCTACAAATAGGAGTCATAGATGATATTTAAGATGCATTCAATGAATAGAAAAAACATGGTATAAGAAAACTAAGCTATTCTAAATTCTAAAGAAGACAATTTTCTAACCAGGCATAAAACTGATGGTTTGGTACCCAGTAATGTTCATATTGAGCATCAGAAAATTAATACCAAGTATGGCAATAATCATCCTGCCCTCTCTCCACAAACCAAACTCAAATAAGGCATTCTATGCTGAAAACACATATTATTCAATGGAAATAAGATGCAAATGACTTGTGAAAGGGCAGGTCATTAAATAGTGTCTCTATACAATTTCAGAGCATATCATCCCTTTACAGATAAGAAATCTAAGAGATCTAATGAGGTTAAGTGAGATGATAAAGAAGATTCTTTGAGTTAGAATCTGGGATTTAAAAAAAAAAAAAAGATAGCTTGGTAAAAATCTTTAGACTTTTAAAATTTCACAGCCCATTTCCTTTCTTACCAGAATTACTTCAAAAATGAGTGGGATCAGTTTGCTTTCTTCCACAAGTCTGTTAAAAAAAAAAGATAACCACACATTACAATGTGTATATTTAAACTATACATTACAATATATGTATTTAAGCTATTGCCCTGATGCGGAACAAGAAAGTCCCTGTGTTTAACTGTTAAATTCTGTAACCAAGAAACATTATGATTAAATGTTCGCTTTTAATACACTGAACTATAGCTATTAAATACAAGAAATATGAGTCTTCTTTAAAAGTGACTACTATCTTGGTCTTATTCATCTATAAAAGCGAAATCTTAAATAGACTGATATTTTAATGTGAAAATTAATTAAAATTCACAATTATTATAAAGAATATCAAAAAGATTTGCCAGTTCAAAGAATGTAACCAATCCTCACTACAGTTAAATTATAAGCATGTGACACTGTAATTTTTTATATATGCCTCATTAGCTGTCTTCTCGGCATTAATGAATTAATGTACAATGAATTTTAACGGCCTTTAATTTTTAAAAAATTGGACACCAATCATCCAATACACTCTAGGCACTCTCCCTCATCAAATCTAGTTATAAATTTTCATCAATTGTAACACAATAATTTTTTCATGCAATTTAAGAGAAAGTAGCCTTGATAACACCAGAACTATTCAAAAGTCAGTTTTTATTAAGAACAATATTTCAATCTTTAAATAGTCCTTTAATCCTGGGTTCAGCAAACTTTTTGCTGCAATAGTCCACATAGTAAATATCTTCTGTTTTGCAGGCCACACTGTCTCTATAGCAACTACTCATCTGTCATCACAATGTGAATGCAACCATAAATAATACAGAAACAGTTCATGTTTATGTTCCAACAAAACTTTATTTACAAGAAACAGACAATGGGCCATTTGGGGGCCACAAGCTTGCTGGCTCCTACTTCTAACAAAAAAATCACTCCATTGTAATATTTTATTAGAATTAACTTCGTACGATAAACTACAAAGCTTAAGATGAGCATATTGCATTTGTTGTAGATATGTGCAGTTTGTCTATTTTACAAAAAATACCAGGTGGAAACAATTTTATCATCTGTTTCCCAGTAGCTTGTTCACAGTAACACATGGATAAAAGAAATGCCTATGAGATTAACCATTAAAAATATCAGTGTTTACAAATCTATGTCAAGGTAAGAGAGAGGTTTCCCAATGACTAAAGCAGTTAGAAAGACCTATTTCAAAAATTAAATGTGATTACTGTTCCCCGAAGCATCATTCACAATAACCAAGATATAGGAACAATCTGGGTGCCTACAATGAATAAGTGGATAGAGAAAGTGTGGTGTAAACACATGACAGAATAATTTTCAGTTGTTAAAAAGAAGGAAATTCTGTCATAGATGAATCCAGAGGATGTTATTCTAAATGAAATAAGCCCACACAGAAAGAAAACACTACATGATCTCACATATCTGTGGAATCTTTAAAAAGTCAAATTAATAGAAGTAGAGAATAGAAGAGTGGATACCAGAGAGGCTGGGGCCGGAACTGGACAGGAAAAGGGGACACATTAGTCAAAGTGTACAAAGTTCAGTCCACCCAGAGGAACAAGTACTTGTGTTATATTGCATAGCTCAGTTACTATGCTAGTAAACAATATATTTTCTACTTCAAAATTTCTAAAATATTTTAAATGTTCTTACCACAAAGAGTATATGCAGTAATGAAAATATAAGTCTGATTTAATCTTTGCATGATGTGTATATATGTAACATAAAATTACATTTTATCCCACAAATGTATACAATTATTATTTGTCAATTTAAATAAAATAAAATTTAAATAACAAAATATTTAAAATAAATATGTAATTTCTGTAAGGGGAAAAAGGTTTTGATTACAAGTTGTAAATTCATGTATATTTTCTCACTTTCCTGGGCAATGGAAGTCTCAGATGTGAGGATGTAGCACCTCACACTAAGCCTGGGTAGGATGAGATATGCACAAGCTAAAGACCAAGCACAACTTCAGGTCCAGCACATTCATCATCATCTTTCTCACTTTCCTAAATGTTAACTCTCTATTTTACTAACTTTGTCTTAAGTCTTTGTGATATAAAATATCATTAGGTCCAGGATGAAATACCCAAGGGCATATATCTCAAAGTTATCCTAGCAATTAAGGCCAAGAAAGTCCCAAGAACAAAGGTACCACTACTTCTCCAGTGATAACTAGAAGTCCAAGTCTCCCTCTATTTATTAGAGGCTGCTGTATCATTCAGATATAGAAGTGTGCACTCACAAGACCAACCTGTTCATTTAAAAATATAATAAGTTATAACCAAACTAAACTACCGTAATTCATACTTAAAAATTAGAATACATTCTTCTCCAGATCTCTGCATAATGAGCAGGCTGGATTGTCTTCAAAGTCCCCTCTAAAATGTAAAACTCCAGGCTTTACGTTCTTCTGAACAGTCAAAAATGACAAATTTTGTTCCTTGATTTAACATAATTCAGAGTCACACTGGTAAATTAAAAGGGAACTCAAGCAAAGTTTTAAAATGTCATTAAAAATTCTATATTGTTTTCTATGATTTATGAACTAAACTTACATGTAACTCTAAAGCAAATAAAGAACCAGGGTGTCTGCAAACCTTTACAACTATTGAAGACTCTATTTTTCAAAATTGTGGAAAGTGATTAACAAGTGGACAATGAGATGAATATGCTGGGTTTAATCAGTACTTAAAAATTAAAAATGAAGCAAAGAATATCCTGAAGTGCCAAACCTAGTACTGTTCTGTATCTGTAGTATGCTGGACAGGGGCAAAATAATGGTTATTTATTCATTTTATTTCACAGTGAGTTGTAGATGAACATCTGATATCTAAAAATTTGAAGAGACTCTTTGTACACTGCTTTTGCTCTATAAGATGCTGACAATAATGAAAGCTGGCTGAAGGGCTGATAGAAATTCGTTGAATTACTTTTGCAACTTTTCTGTATAGATAAAGCTATTACAAAATAAAATGTTTTTCTTTGAGTCTTCTCTTTGAGAGGAAGAGTCTATGTCGTCTGCCTTTAAACCTCGGCAGAATTGTGACTGCTTTGACTAACAGTAGCATAGAAAAGATAGTTTGTGATTTCTGCCTATACTCTCTATATCTTTTTCTGAATTTTCTTTTAAGTCATTTATAGTATTTTATAAAAATATTTATTCTAGGGGCTGGAGTTGTGGCTCATTGGTAGAGCACTTGCCCTGCATGTCTAAGGCACTGGGTTTGATTCTCAGCACTGGATATAAATAAATAAAAATAAAAGTCCATCAACAACTAAAAAAATATTTTTAAAATCCTCTGAAAGGGAAATGAGGAAAACTACCCCATTTACAACAACCTCAAAAATAAAGTAAAATACTTGGGAATCAACCTAACAAAAGAGGTGCAAGACCTCTACAACAAAAATTACAGAATGCTAAATAAAGAAATTAAAGAAGACCTAAGATGGAAAGATCTCCCTTGTTCTTGGATATGCAGAATTAATATTGTCAAAATGACCATACTACCAAAAGCATTACACAGATTTAATGCAATTCCAATCTAAATCCCAATAACATTCCTCATAGAAATAGAAAAAGCAGTCATGAAATTCATCTAGAAAAATAAGAGACCCAGAATATCTAAAGTAATCCTTAGAAGAAGAGTGAAGCAAGTGCCATCATTATAACAGACTTTAAAATATACTACAGAGCAACAGTAACAAAAACAGCATGGTATTGGCACCAAAATAGACCTGTAGACCAATGGTACAGAATAGAGGACACAGAGACTAATCTACATAATTACAGTTATCTTATATTAGACAAAGGTTCCAAAAACATACATTGGAGAAATGGTGCTGGGAAAACTGGAAATCCGTATGAAACAAAATGAAATTAAACCCCTATCTCTTACCATGCACAAAGCTCAACTCAAAGTGGATCAAGGATCTAGGAATGAAACCAGAGACACTGTGCCTAAAAGAAGAAAAAGTAGGCCCAAATCTCCATCATATCGAATTAGGCCCCTACTTCCTTAATAAGACTACTATAGCACCAGAATTAAAAATCAAGAATAAGTGGGATGGATGCAAACTAAAAAGCTTCTTCTCAGCAAAAGAAACCATCAGTGAGGTGAACAGAGAGCCCATAGCTTGGGAGCAAATTTTTACCCGCCCCCCCCCCACACACACACACACATATCAGACAGAGCCCTAATCTCTAGGATATATAAAAAAATCAAAAAGCTAAACACCAAAAAAACAAATAACCCAATCAATAAATGGGCCAATGAATTGAACAGACACTTCTCAGAAGGTGATATACAATCAATCAACGAATATATGAAAAAATGTTCAACATCTCTAGCAATTAGAGAAATGAAAATCAAAAGTATTCTAGGATTTCATCTCACTCCAGTCAGAATGGCAGCTATTAAGAATACAAACACAGGGCTGGGGTTGTGGCTCAGCAGTAGAGCACTCACCTAGCCCATGCGAGGCCCTGGGTTCAATTCTCAGCACCACATAAAAATAAATAAAATAAAGGTATTGTGTCCAACTACAACTAAAAAAATATATATATAAAACAAACAACAATAATTGTTGTCAAGAACGTGGGGGGAAAGGCACACTCATACATTGCTGGTGGGACTGCAAATTGATGCAGCCAATATGAAAAGCAGTATGCAGATTCCTTGGAAAACTGGAAATGAGACCACCTTTTGACCCAGCTATCCCACTCCTCAGTCTATACCCAAAAGGACTTAAAAACATAGCCACATCAATGTTTACAGCAGCACAATTCCCAATAGCTAAACTGAGGAACCAACCTAGATGCCCCTCAACAGATGAATGGATAAAGAAAATGGAATATTACTCAGCAATAAAAGAGAATAAAATCATGGCATTTGCAGGTAAATGGATGGAGTTGGAGAACATAATACTAAGTGAAGTTAGTCAATTCCAAAAAATCAAATTTTTCTCTGATATAAGGAGACTCATTCACAGTGGGGTTGGGAG